ACGGGAGCCCTGCCGATTCGGAACGGACAGGACGGGGCACCCCTTCAATCGAAGATGGAAGCGGTCAGCCCAGCTCAATAATACTTCGCTAGCATAGAGGGAGGAACTAGCTTGACCCCGACCCAGATGTGTGCGAGGTATAGCCAAGATAACCGCCGTTCTGAGCCCTGCCTGGAGTGCCCCGTTGAAAACATGATGCCCAGGGATGAGTTGAGGGTTTCCTTCGCCAAGGCGAGCAAAGGCAAAGCAGGGCCCCGATCAGATGTGCTCCCGATGAAACTGCTCGGTTACTTCACCCTGTTGTGCTCAAGCCAACGATGTACGCTCAGGAACCATTGACCTTCAAGGGGGGATGGGCCCACGACCTCTACAAAAATTCTGGGACTGCCGCTGAGAACACGAGCTACCGACATATTCTCCGCGTGAACAACGCTGCTAAGCATCACCATAAGTACGCGCGAGGTCAGTTACAAAAGTTGCTTGCCAGTTTGCTTTTGATGACCCCGATGGGGGGGGGGGGGGGGGGGGGGCAGGGGAGGCACTGACATGACCAACCACATGGCCCGTACTTTTTTTTTTTTTCGGAGGTGGCGAGGCAAAAGAGCCTCTCGACTGTTATCGCTTTTATTGACTTGAAGTCTGCGATCTACAAGGTGATACGTGCTCTGTTGATGCCGCATTTGAACGATCCCTGGACTTGGCTGACGCCATTGACGCCTCCGAGATCCCCGAAGTTTTGACCCCCAGCCTTGAGCACGCGATGGCTCAAACGGCATTCCCCGACGGACTTGGAAATGAGCATCTCTTGAAGATGCACGCTGATACTCACGCGAGCACCTGGTGCAAAACTAAAGGGCCCCCGGGTGTGGTTAGGACGGTCTCAGGGAGTCGGCCTGGGAGTTCCCCCGCTGACCTCGTTTTCAACTTGTTGTTTGTGCCCATCGCCAAGGAAATCCGTGCAGAGCTTGACCTCCATGGGTATCTTCTCAAATTGGAGGCTCCAAATAACCCACTCTTTTCGCTCCCTGGTGACACAGACATTGACTGCCTGGCCGAGAGCACGTCTGTGGATGACCTCGGAGTTATGGCAGCGGCGCGCAGGGCGGAGGACCTACGCGATATGATTTCCACAACAGTTGCCACCATCAGCGAGATCAACCATAGGTACGGGATGACAGTAAATTTAAAGATAGGCAAGTCAGCCGTCCTTGTCCGACCCAGAGGGGAAGGATCAAGACAGATCCGAGCCGAGCTTTATCCGACGGCCGACCCCCCTTTACGAAACCTTGGACGGCGACGAGACTTCTCTCCAGCGTACGTACAGATACCTTGGGACCATGGTGGCCCAGAATGGAGGCCTGGGCCCAGAGTTGGCCCATCGGAGGATTCAGCAGAAGGCTGGAGTTGGCCCCCTGCATCGAACCGTGGTGGGGGGCCAAAAGACTCAGCCACAAAACCATGTGTAAGTATGTGGATTCGCTCTGCACATCGCGACTCCTTTATAATGGAAATGTCTGGGCAGAACTATCGAAGGCTGATGTTGAAGCGATGATAGCTGCGCATCTCGCTCCCTGTCGGACCGTCTTGGGAGTGCGCTTAGGACGACCTGGCCAACCCCATGGTGCCAACGTGCGGATTCTGCTTGACACTGATAGGATACCTGTTCCCGATGTGCTCCGTCTCATGAGGCTGAGGTATGTTTCCAGATTGATGACCTCGGCACCCCTCAGCCTCGGCAGCTCCTTGACATGGAGATTTGCGCCAAGAAATCGTGGGGCTCCACTCTTCGGGGCCACCTGGGTTGGTTGCAGAGGTTTTACGATTTTGAAGAAGGGCATACCCTCACGGCTCGGGAATTGCTGCTTCGCGCTGCTGATTACCCAGCTCAATGGAATAACATAGTTCGGAGGGCTGCACAAGCTTACAAGAGGTGCCGCGCCGACCAGTTGCGCTTCAAATTATGGAGAAAGGGTTTATACAATACTGGCAACGCTGCCCCCCCCCCCCCTGGCATTGCGGAGGAACCGCCCAGGGAGCAGCGGTACGTGCGCGAGACGTGCGGCTACGCGTGCTTTCGCCCAGGGGCGACGCGTGGCCATGTTACCAAGAAGCACCAAGACAGTGCTGGCATATTGGCAAAGAATTATGTGTGCCTTGTGTGCTGTAAAGATTTCCACAGTAGGCTCAGGCTGTTGAGACACTTGCGGTCTGCCGGCACTGGACGCCTCGAGGTTTGGAGTCTTGCTGAGGAACCCATGCCCGATGAGTTGTACGAAACCCTTCGCACTGAAGTCAGGAACCAGGCGGCGGCGCTCAAGGTTCGAGGCTTGAGAGCGACTGGGGCTGAGGTCCCTGTTGGATCCGTCCCTGGGGGGGGGCTCTCGCGGGCCGCTGGGGTTGGGGACTCTCCTCCTCCTCCTCCTCCTCCTCCTCCTCCTCCCCCTGGTTCCACGAGTAGAAGAAATTCAGCGCCCTGACGGCGCTAGCTTTAGGCCTCTTGATAATCCGCGACATATAGAGCCCAACGAGACCCGCTATGTGCTCCATCTTTTCAGTGGACAGAGGCGACGTGACGATGTCCAGGATTGCTTTGAATCCTTTCAGAAGCTAGGTCTTGATGTAGGACCTGTATTAGCTCTGTCTATTGACAGTGTAAGTGATTCAATCAGTGGTGATCTTAGATCACCAAGAATACGAGAGACTGGCTAGCATGTTTTTTGATGCCCATGCCATCGGTGTTATAGTTGGCCCACCGAGCGAGACATGGTCGACAATTCGGAGTGTGGAATCCCCACAGGGTCAGACCACCAGGACCCCCCGTCCATTACAGTTTCTATTGGGAAGACCACTAGCCACCGCAAAGGAGTGGCGACATATTTCTACAGTCAATGATATGTACCGAATTGCATTATATTTCATGTATGTCAGTCTTGCCACTGGTGCCTCTGGAATACTAGAGCACCCAGCTGTACCTTTCAATGAGGAAGCTCCGAGATCATGGTTTCTTAAGGAAGCCGTGCACATGCGAGCTCTCAAGGAACAAGGACTTAAAGTTGACATGAACAGAATAGACCAATGTTCCTTCGGTGCGCAAACGACGAAACCGACACAGTTTCTGACGGCAAATTTTCCCAGTCTGGGCCAAGAGATCGATCAGATGCCCCGACGAGGCCGATGTTGCCATTGGACAGGGCATGATATCGTGCCAGGGCAACAGGAGGACGGCCGCAGGAAGACCCAGCAGGCCAAACAGTATCCAGCTGAGCTCTGTACTTTCTTGGCTCGGCATTTTGCCATTGCGTGTCGTCAGAAGCTGAGAGAGGGGGGTGCCCTCTCGACCACGAACTTGCGAGTTTCTTTTGTCCCCTGGACCCGTACCTCGGCGCCCCTGACAACGAGGAGTACGGACAGGATCATAGTGGCAAGTGACCAGCGTGTTCGTGAATTTATATATGCAGCCTGCGGATCATCCCCCTTATGGCCATGGAACAGAACAGGAGGAGGAGGAGGAGGAGGAGGAGGAGGGAGGAGGAGGGAGGAGGAGGAGGAGGGGAAAAAAGGAGGAGGAGGGAGGAGGGGGAGGAGGAGGAGGAGGAGGAGGACCGTGCGGCGTCGGCGCCCGGGAGTGCGCCCCGTCGCTTCCGGATCGGGGCGCCCCGGGTCCTGCGCGAGCGGCGCTCTCGCCAGCGCTGGCCGCCGCGCGTCGGGATCGGCGTGCTGCTCGGGACTCTCGGGATGGCCCCCTCTGAGGATCCGAACTTTCTACACCGATGCTTTGTTGTTCCGGTCCCGCACTGAGATTCGCACGAGAAAACGGCTCATGGAGTATATACGGCATCCTGGAGCATACGTTCTCTGCTGCTTCCACGGGGGAACGGGGAAACGGGCATGCACCACACCACCCCGAGGTCGTCCCCGACCCTCGAAAGATCCCGGGATTGAACAGCAGCCCGCCACCTGGTAATGTGTACGCTCCAGCTCCCGACTCTCGCCCCGGCGCGGGCCACCCTGCTGGATCCAAGCCCTGCCTCGTCGTGGCCGCTGCCCCTCCCGTCCCCGCCTCTGCTCTGCCCTGGGCGTCCTGCCCGTTCTGCTCGTCCTGGTCCTGCTGCTGCTCCTCCTGCAGCCGCCTTCGTGGATCCTCCTCTTCCTCCTGCTCATCATCCCGTTCGCCCCCCACCTCCTCTCCTCCTGCTTCAGCCGCCCTAATGGTCCTCCTCCTCCTCCTGCTCCTGTTCGGCCTGTCCTCAAAGACCCTCCTGTTCCTCCTGCTAATCATCCCGTCCGTCCCCCAACTCCTTCCATGCAGAAAGCCCCCCATTCTGATTGCGCATCACGCGAAGGGGTCACTTGGGGGATGCAGGTCCTCCAGGACACCAGTCGGCAACCGAAAAACTTCGGCGCAGTGGGAACAGATTGGGGTGGATGGGGCAGGATGTCAGATATGGAGCTAGCGCGCCTGGCTGGCCCTGTTCCTCCTCTTCTTCCCCCCCTCCCCCCTCTCCTCCCTCCCTCCCTCATCCCCTCCTCCCGCCATCCCTTATCCCGCCCTCCAACAGCATCCATATTTCTGCGATCGATATTCACGCACCATTTTTGTTGAAAGACTAGCTGTCGTCAGTGAAATCTCGGGAGGCATTCGGTAATTACTTTACGTGCGCACTCCCATGTGGCAATGCGACGTGATCCTTACACTCCCAGTGGCGTTCCTCACTGCTCACGCCTGCGTCCTCCATCCTCCCGGCTGCCGATTCCTCCTACATCCTGCCTGAGCCCTCCGCCCTCCCGTCTGCACGGTTTCCCCCAGGGCCGTAGGCGACCCGAGGAGGAGGAGGAGGAGGAGGAGGAGGAGGAGGAGGAGGAGGAGGATGAGGAGGAGGGGGAGGAGGGGGAGGAGGAGATTGAGGAGGAGGAGGAGGACGGGTCGCCTAAGCCCTTCGGAGAAACCCTCCACTCCCGTCCTCGTCTTCCTCCTTCCTCCTGCTCCCTCCCGCCCGCTCCTGACGGTGTGCGCCCGCCTGGACGGCGAGAAGGCTCCCTCCGGACTGGAGGGGCTCCGCGACAGCGGCGCTGCCGACACGACGGAGGAGATCTTCTGCAGCGCCTCGCGGCGCCGGGCGGGAGCAGAGAATCGCGGATGGACAGACATCCCTTTACTCCAGATTTCGTAAGAAAGGGAGGGGGGTCTCATTTCGGGGGGGCTCTTCCAGGCCATCTTGGAGGGCCTGGGGGGTCTGGGGACGATTTTGTGGAGGGTTCTCCCACGGGGGAGGTCTGAAATGGCTTGTCTTGGAGGGTCCAGACCCCCTCCCTTTTATTACGAAATCTGGAGTAGTCAAACGTGGTTTAGTGAAAACGTCCTCGGGCCCAAACCTGGCAGGCGCAAGCCTGGAAAACAACGGCCACGGCGCCCTTACGAGAGCCGAAAACGGGTCCTGTCCACCCCCCAAGGAGAACTTCGGCGCGGGCTGGACGGCGCGACCCGGCGCCGCCCGCGCATCGGGCGCGCCCGTGCCTCCTCCTCCTCCTCCTCCCTCCTCCTCCTCCTCCTCCTCCTCCTCCTCCTCCTCCTCCCTCCTTCTCATCCTCCTCCTCCTCCTCCTCCTCCTCCTCCTCCTCCTCCTCCTCCTCCTCCTCCTCCTTCTCCCTCCTCCTCCCTCCTCCCCCCTCCTCCTCCCTCGCGGCGCAGGGGACCAGGCGTGGCAGAAGGAACTGGGCACTGCTCGACAGGACTCGGCAGCGAGCGGGAGGGGAGGCGAGGAGGAGAAGGCTTACAGTCGGGGCGTCGACCTAAAGAACCCTAAATAAGGAGCAAGGCCCACTCTTCCATAAGTTAAACTTCGGTTCCCCATGGAAGACATCAGGAAAACCCAAGGCAACCTGTAAAACGATCAAGGGACACCGAGCCCCTCCCCAACGAAAAGGGTTTCTTCTTCGGCGCCCCGACTGCACTCTCGAGCACCCGAACAAATATCCGAACGGTGTCGAGCGAGCCTCGCCTCCCGGGGCCCGACGCGCGAAAACCCTTCGGCCTCGGTCCTCCCCTGGTTCGGGGAGACGTAAGACCCGGTTACGGGGGACTCGGAAATCCCCGACGAGGTCGTCAAAAAAATGACGAGGCCGAGCCTGCATTTCGACGAGGCCTCCCGCAGCAGACATCCAACGAAACTCCTACTCACTCCTACTCGTCAAAATCCGAGTCGCGGTCGTCGAAAAACGATGGCGAACCCGAGTCCTGGCAAACCCGGGTCTTACGTTCCCCCGACTGGTGCTCGAGGATCACCCTGGCGACCCCGGCTCCAAAAAAGGCAGGCCGGAACATCGCGAGAGGCGGCCTCCTCGGCCGGCGGCGGGGCCGGCCTCCGGAGGCAGAGGGGGCCTCCGAGCCCTCGGAGAGGGCCCGCTCCCGGGGGCCGGCCGCCGAGAGACGGCGGCAGAGCCGGGAGCCGCCCTGGGGGGCGCCAGCCCGTGGGAGGGAGGGAGGGAGGGAGGGAGGGAGGAAGGACGAGGAGGAGGAGGAGGAGGAGGGCGGAGGAGGAGGGCGGAGGAGGAGGAGGAGGAGGGCGGAGGAGGAGGGCGGAGGAGGAGGGCGGAGGAGGAGGGCGGAGGAGGAGGAGGACGAGGAGGAGGAGGAGGAGGAGGAGGAGGGAGGAGGGAGGAGGAGGGAGCGAGAGAGCGAGGAGGGAGGGAGGGAGGGTGCGCGCGCCGAAGTCGCGGACTGCGGCGCCAGCGCAGCTCCATCCCGTGGGGATGCCGCCGTGCCCCCTGGCACGCTGAGGCGCCGCAGAGTGCCAAGTGCTGGCCGGGTGTCTGCAATCTTCTCAGGAAATCTCCCCCCCTCCCGGTCACACTCACCTGCATGCATCACCCACCCTTCCCTGTCCCTTGCACTTGATCTGCCCTCCCGAGGCCACGATCCTTTCGTGTCACAAAGTATGGGTCTGCACTCTGGAGGTAACGACCCATGTAAAAGCACGATCATTAGCGGAAAAAGATAGATCGGTGCTCTCGCGCTTCCAAGACGGACAAGGAAGGAAAGCAATAACCAGCCTCGAGCGTATCCCAATCCCTGCGATTGGCTAGCCAAAACGCGATGATGATCCTGGTGATGCACCATCGAGAACGGAGGGAATCCTCAAGACCGGCATCGAGAGGAGGCGATGCCGATCATAGGGATCAGGATACGTTCCAGGCTGGCAAAGCAAGGCCGGCAAAATGGCCCACCATGCCTATAAGACGGCCGAAGATGGCCCCCAGGCTGACAAAATGACCCCAAAACGGCCCAAAAGGCCCAAAGACGGCCCAAGAAGGCCTTAGGAGGACCCCCATGTAGGGCCCAATTACGCTAGCGAGGAACCCCACATAATTATATTTTTGCTGCAGTGATGATAGCCTCCTTCTCCTCCTCCTCTTCCTCCTCCTCCCCCCTCGCCATTGATATACTAACCAGGATGTCCCGATTTGGCATCGAGGTCTCCGATACGCTGCGGCAGCCATCAAGCAAACGAACCGACTGGCTGCTCTGCAAGCCCGCTGGGCCGACAACATTCCCATACCGCCTCGGCGACCCAGTGTTGCAGCGCGCAACGCGCCCATCGACAGCGCGCCACGCCAGCGTGCCACGCTGACGACCCCGAGGTGTTACCAAATCGTGCTGGGAGCTCGGCCTATGACGACCCAGAATGTTGAGACGCCAGGACGACGCGGCAGCGAAGAAAAATATTCCGCGCCTGCCATGCCCTGCGCCATGGCCCGCATAAACGCCCCGCTCGGGGACCATTCCCTGCGCACCCCCAGTGGTGTCGAGAATATGCCGTGCCTGCCACGCCCTGCGCCAGGCCCCGCATAGACGCCGCGCTCGGAGACCACCCCCTGCGCACCCCCTGCGGGGTGAGGAAAGTGCCACACCTGCCACGCCCTGCGCCATGGCCCGCATAGACGCCGCGCTCGGAGACCACCCCCTGCGCACCCCCTACGAGGTCGAGAAAGTGCCACACCTGCCACGCCCTGCGCCATGGCCCGCATAGACGCCGCGCTCGGAGACCACCCCCTGCGCACCCCCTACGGGGCGAGGAAAGTGCCACACCTGCCACGCCCTGCGCCATGGCCCGCATAGACGCCGCGCTCGGAGACCACCCCCTGCGCACCCCCTACGAGGTCGAGAAAGTGCCACACCTGCCCCTGCGCCATGGCCCGCCGCCGCGCTCGGAGACCACCCCCAGCGCACCCCCTACGGATCGAGAAAGTGCCACACCTGCCACGCCCTGCGCCATGGCCCGCATAGACGCCGCGCTCGGGGACCACCCCCTGCGCACCCCCTACGAGGTCGAGAAAGTGCCACACCTGCCACGCCCTGCGCCATGGCCCGCATAGACGCCGCGCTCGCCACCCCTGCGCGCCCCCTACGGGGTGAGGAAAGTGCCACACCTGCCACGCCCTGCGCCATGGCCCCGGATAGATGCCCGTCGGAGACCACCCCCTGCGCACCCCTGCGGGGTGAGGAAAGTGCCACACCTGCCACGCTCTGCGCCATGGCCCGCATAGACGCCGCGCTCGGAGACCACCCCCTGCGCACCCCCTACGGGGTGAGGAAAGTGCCACACTTGCCACGCCATGCCCCATAGCCCGCATAGACGCCGCGCTCGGAAACCACCCCCAGCGCACCCCCTACGAGGTCGAGAAAGTGCCACACTTGCCACGCCCTGCGCCATAGCCCGCATAGACGCCGCGCTCGGAGACCACCTCCAGCGCACTCCCCTACGAGGTCGAGAAAAGGCCACACATGCAACGCCCTGCGCCATAGCCCGCATAGACGCCGCGCTCGGAGACCACCCCCTGCGCACCCCCCTACGAGGTCGAGAAAGTGCCACACCTGCCACGCCCTGCGCCATGGCCCGCATAGACGCCGCGCTCGGAGACCACCCCCTGCGCACCCCCCTACGAGGTCGAGAAAGTGCCACACCTGCCACGCCCTGCGCCATGGCCCGCATAGATGCCGCGCCCGGAGACCACCCCCTGCGCACCCCCTACGGGGTGAGGAAAGTGCCACACCTGCCACGCCATGCGCCATGGCCCGCATAGACGCCGCGCTCGGAGACCACCCCCTGCGCACCCCCTACGGGGTGAGGAAAGTGCCACACCTGCCACGCCCTGCGCCATGGCCCGCTGTGCTGTGCTGTGCTATGCTGAGCTGCGCTGTGTTATGCTGTGCTGCTTGAGAAGGAGAGGGGGCAGGGAGGGAGGTGAGACGCGGGTGCGGCGCGGGTGGGAAGAAAACCAGAACCCCACAAAGCATGTGGGGGAAAAAAACAAAATCACACAGTCCCCATGGATCTTGTGATACTCTGGCGTGTTCACCTTTTCGAAGCTTACTTCAGCTCCCGACGGCCCTATAGAGGCCTTCCTAGATGGTCACCCGACGGCCCGAGAGTGCCCCAAAACTGCCCAGTAATCCTCCAAGGCGACCTCAAGAGAGCCCAAGAGGGCCCCTGGACGGCCCAGGACGGCCCCAAGGGCGCCAATCTCCCATCAACGGCTCAAGACGGCAGACAGGCGACACCACGGCGGCCGCAGGAAAAAACCCACAGACGGCCAAGAGAGCCCCAACACGGCCCAAGAGAGCCCTATAAGACGGCCCGCGGGGGCCCAAAAACAGCTCAAGATGGCCCAGGGACACCAGACTGCTCCACGAGGACCCAGCCAAGGACGAAGGGAAAGACGCCAAGGACGAGAAGAGAACCCCGACCCGACGCGGAGAAGCGTGTCACACATGTTACGGCTCTCCCGAGGCTCGGGACGCGAGGTGTCACACGCTACGATTAGGTCGGGCGTCCCCCTTCAGTTGGACGACAAGTTTGTTCAAAAATACCCCAAATACTCAAAAAATGCCAAAAATAGCCCAACAAATCGTCACAATCTGATTTCTTGACTATTCTTGAAATTTCCTCCTGTATAGGCACAAGCCCGACTTAACGCTACGGCCTAAGCCTACTTGGCGCGACCCAAGAAAAGTCGAAAAATCCAAAATGATGGGCCGACGCGGTGGCCGGACTTGCCGCGCGCAGCTGGTTAGTTACAGGGTGGCCAACACCAACCGTTCCGTCCAAAGCTTTGGTGGGAAACGCAAGTGTGAGTTTGAAGCAGCGCGGGTGGCACAGTTGGCACAGGCCCCGTTGTCCCCATGAGGAAAAACATGTGGATTCGCAATAACTTTGTCTGCACTTTCTGGAACGCGGCTTCTGGTCACGAGCTGGATAGCAAAAAACTGAATCAATCCCCTTGCGATGTTACGCGCTTGACTGGAAGTGTCCTGTTTTCTATATGTCGAGACCGTTGCTGTCTGTTGGCGCCGAAGCGGCGCCGAAGAGTGACACAATGTTCAGCAACTGTTTGCGCAGCCGAAGCCTTCCGAAGTTCACAGAGAGACACAGCGTCGAACATCTTCATGCGATCCAGCGATGCCACCCACACTGGGATCTGCGATTACGCAAAGGCATGATCAAAGGTGCGATAATGACGCCGGAATCCTGCTTGGCCTGGAGGCTGCTGCGAATCGAGATTCCTTCCGAGCCTGTTGTACAGAAGCCTGCCGGATAGCTTGCACAGCAAAGGAAGCTGCAACATATGTCCCAGAACATTCATCCTGCATTCCAAACACAATAAAAGCAACAAACGAATGTACGCTCGGTCAAACTCAATGCGAAGCGCAGCAACGAAGAGTAAACCAGCAAATGAATGCAGCACACTGTAGTGGCAGCGCAGCGCAAAGCATTGCCATAACAAGCGAATGCAATGGCAGCAATGCATGTACATGCAAAGCAAGCAATGCCAGTGTAATGAAATATTGAGCGAAGAGTGCCAAAACAACGCAAACGAAAGCAAATCAGAGCGATGCACTGCAACGCGCTGGTGTGACAAGCATCACAAATCAAATGTGAAACTCATGCAGCAAAATTCGATGTGCAAAGAAGCAAGGATCACACATAACCCGAGGAACCCCAAGAATTCGAAGGTCGGAAGTCGCATGAACGGGGAACGCGCCGAAAGAACGCGGGGAAGACGCAGGAGCCCCACGAAGCCCAAAAGAAGTCCCAAGATGGCCCCCAGACGGCCACCAGACGGCCCCAAGACGGCTCAACAACGCCCCGGGACTGCCCCAGACTTGCCACAAAATTGTTCTACGACCCTCTTCGAGTAAACCTAGCAGAACCTTTGTAGTCAAGATGCCTCCAGGACACCAATAGGCCCTCAAGAGCAAAAAGGCCCCGAAAACTGCCCCCTGACTCCAAAAAGGCCCCCAGGACGCACCCCACAACCGCTCAAGAGGCCCCCGACAGGACCGGGTGAACGCGAGACACATCACAAATTTCAACGCTGCATCGTCCCCTCCCGCTCCTCCTCCAGAAGGATACACACATCCGTATCCGCCACCCTTCCTCTGGGCATGGAGTGGGCGTGTCCTCGGGTCGTTTGCCCAATCCCCTGAGCCTCAGTCCTCTCTCCTGAGGAGTGTTGAAGGCGACCAGAGCCCAAATTCACAAATCTCCCGAGGCTTGGCGCGGTCACCTTGGGCCTTGGCGCGTCTTGACGCGCAACGTTTTCGGGCCCAAGAGCGCCCCGAGGGCCCCCAGAGGCCGCCAAGACGGTCCAAAAGGGCCCCGAGCCGCCGAACGATCGCCCCAGGACGCCCAGGGTGGCCCCCCAGACGACCCAAGAGGCCGCCCAAACGCCCCAAGAGGCCTCCAAGAGGGGCCCGAGAAGCCGAAATCGTTCATTCGTCTGTTGGTTTTTGAAGGATGAGTGGCCTTTTCGCCTTTTCGGCTTTCCGACGCTCCAAGACGGCCCAAGAGGCCCCCATAGACCGCCCCAAGACAGCCCAAGAAGTCCCCAGGAGGGCACCAAGACGGCCCAAGAGGACCCCAAGACGGCCCAAGAGGACCCCAAGACAGCCCAAAAGGCGCCCAAGACGGCCCCAAGAGTGACCCAAGAAGGGATCCCAGAACCGACAATTCAAGCATTCCGCTCCAAGAGGCCCCCAGGAGGCCCCAAGAGGCCCCCAAGAGGCCCCCAAGAGGCCCCAAGGGGCCTCCAGGAGGCCCCCAAGAAGCCCCAAGAGGCCCCCAAGGAGGAGGAGGAGGAGGAGGAGGAGGAGGAGGAGGAGGAGGAGGAGGAGGAGGAACACAAGGAGGGGGAGGAGGAGGAGAAGGAGGAGGAGGAGGAGGAGGAGGAGGAGGAGGAGGAGGAGGAGGACTTCCCGTGCTGCCCCCTCCCGGAGGAGGCGAGAGGCCGGCAAGCACGCAGGCCGCCCGAGAGCGGCCCCCCCCGCCTCGTCAAGGAGGCGGTCCTGCTGCAGGGCCGCCGAGGGCTGCAGGGCCACAGCCGCCTCGGCAGGGCCGGGCGGGCCGCCCCTCCCCGCCTCGTTTCGGCGGCGGGCGATGGGAGGAGGAGGAGGAGGAGGAGGAGGAGGAGGAGGAGGAGGAGGAGGAGGAGGAGGAGGAGGGGGAGGAGGAGGAGGAGGGGAGGCGGAGGAGGAGGAGGAGGAGGAGGAGGAGGAGGAGGAGGAGGAGGAGGAGGAGGAGGGGGAGGAGGAGGAGGGAGGAGGAGGAGGAGGAGGAGGAGGGGAGCAGCAGGAGAGGAGGAGAAGGAGGAGGAGGAGGAGGGGGAGGGGGAGGAAGAGGAGGAGGAGGAGGAGGAGGAGGAGGAGGTAAGGTAAGGCGCTTGGGGAGATGAATCCGATCGGCCGAACAAACCGAACGGGCTCTTCTGGCCTCCCTGCGACGGGACACTTGGGCAGGGCCCCCTTGTGGGCCTGCACGCGGGAGCGAGCGGTGGGAGCTGGCCCATGGCCCGCTGCCGCCACGCGGGGCAGCGGCGGGGCACCCCCTGAGAGGCCCTCGGCTGTCCAGCACGACCCAGGGGGGGGAAGGGTCCAGACCTCAGGGACGCTACGGTCAGCCCGTATCATGAGGATGCGCGGTAAGGAAGCAAGGGCCTTGGAGGCCCATGTGAACGTGTTTCGAACGAGGTTCGCCAGCGAAAGTGGCCAAGGATCGGCCGAGGAGGCAAGAATGCAAGGATAGCATTGGGAAGGTTGCCCATTCTCAAAATGCAGGTTGACTGTACGGTGCGTCAGAATCATGACGTTTAGTGTCGGGGGGCGCCAACATCGGGACGGCCAGAGCCCTTTCGATGGCGCGCACAAGGGGGGTGGTGCGAGGGGGGCGGCCCTCGAAAAAGGTGCGGAACGTCTCAGACTCTCAGAAAGAAGGGATGGAGCCTTGTTGAAATCGGCGGCGAGCGGGGGGGGGAATTGAGAAGGAGGAGGAGGCCTTCTCAAAGGCGGCGGGGCTTCTCAGAAGAATAGATGGGGCCTTGCTGGAATCGGCGGCGAGCGAGGGGGAGAAGCGAGGAGGAAGAGGAGACCTTCTCAAAAGCGGCGGGGCTTCACAGAAGCCCTCGCGCCTTCGGAAGAATTTCCCGCGTCCTCGGGGAAGCCCTGGGGAACTTCTCGGAGGGCCGGGGGGACTTCCGGGCCTTCTGGAGAAGCCTTCTCCTCCTCACTGCCCCCCCTCGCACGCCCGCCGCCGATCGTTACTAGGAGGCCTCCCGCACGGAGGTCACCTCCCCTCCCCACCTCCTGCCTTTTCCTCGTGTCTCCTCCTCTCCCCCACCCGTACAATACGGATGCACAAGCAGGATGCGAGGGCCTTTGGAAGGCCATGTCGACACTGTTAAAAAAACGAAAGCGACCAAAAAGGGGCCGAAGGGGAAGGATGCGAGGGTAGTTTCGGAAATTTGCTCATCCTCACTACGCGGGTTGACATTCCGAGACCTCCCGCATCGAGTCCGAATGGGAGGCCTCCCACATAGGAGGCCTCCGACTCGGACTCCATGCGCAAGGCCTCCCACTTCGTGAATAGGAAGCCTCCCACATAGGAAACCTCCCACGTGGGGTCGGAGGATCGCGCCGCCTCGCCGGTTCATCGCCGATGCATTACCGATGCGTCGGCGACGTTGGCAATGGAGTCGTCCATTGGCGTGAGTAGATCAGGTTCCACATCGAGCCGCGTCGCCAACGTACTGGCGATGCGGCGCGATCCTCCGACCCCATGTGGGAGGCTAGAATTACGGGCTTGCGCAAAGATTACTGATGCCCTTCGACTCGCGCTGGAGTTTGCAAGATTTGGTCAAAATCCCCCTAAAGGTATCTGCATGCAGACCAATGTATGTTAGTGGAGAGTCCAAACGAACTGTCTAGATATACCTCGATGTCTTTGGGTTGATCTCCGCAAGTAAATTGGAGCCACGTGGTCAAGCCCTTAGATAGCACATTTTCCTTGACACCCGAGACCACCACCACTGAACCATGCATCTGGCAGGACGCAGGGGCGGAAGAGCGCGCCGCGATTTGCATCTCTTTGGATGACACCTAGCAAATGCAAGAAAACGGTTATCCCACGAAGTGAGATTGATCATTGTACGATATCACTGCTGGCGCAGCTGAAACGGATGCGTCGGGAACCGACCAAACTCTCGCTGAAGGGAATGAAACGCGAATGAGCGAAGAGGGAGAGGAGGAAGAGGTGAACCACCCTATGGTAACGGGACGAGCTCATAGACAGAGGTGGCCGGACGCGGACGCGGCCGCCCCCGCTTTCTGCGAGGGGCCTATTGCCTGGGAGAACCGTCTACGTTGCAAAATATAGCTATCGCCAGGCACGGTCGACTTCCATGTGCGATCTTGGTGCAAAGCACCGTCTGTCGCTAAAACGTCAGAGAGTGACTTCGCTCCGGCGTTGTCCAGCCCGATGGAGTTGGCGACCCAGACAATAAACGATGGCGGGATACCAAATATCTTCCTAACGCATTCCATTAGAAACCGCCCAATCGATCTCTCTCTCTCTCTCTCTCGGCTTCGAGGAGCCAGATTGAGTCCAAAGAGTACAAGACCTCGCTGAAAACGCAGGCGGAATAGATGCGAGACTCCCTTTTCCATCCAGTGGCGGCGCGGGACCAAGCATTCTGCAGCTGCTTGAATACAATCGCTCCTTCGCCCAGCCTCCGAGACAACTCGTTTCCAGCTTTGCCGTCTCCAGATGTTAGCCCACCGGATAAACTGCGCCCCGCTCGGGTTTGATGGCGTCTCCCGCTGGTCTCCACACATCTCCTGCCGCAGAGATCTGCAATGTCTTCTCTCACTTGAAGTCCAAAATTTGCGACCTTCTGTAACAGTAGGTTCAAGCACAAATTGAAGATTCCCCGGATGTTGCGATGCCAACCACCTATCGTTCGCGATCACTTGTCCCTGGTGACGACGCACTCCGGCTCTGGCCGCGGTTCCAACGCGCCCAAGGCGTCGCGCAACATCGCAGCTTGGACAGCGATGAACAAGTCGGGGTTCAGCGGGCAACCTCGCGCGATGCCCGCCGATTGCCTGCTCCCCGAAGAAGCCCCGCAATGGTCGACTAAGGCGAAGTCATCCCGTTCGGCGGTGGGATGCGGAGTCTTGGCCTCGATGCTGCACCGGTGGCCCGTGGGCGGCGGGCGAAGAATGTGGGGGCCCCAGCTCGGTTTCCGCCCGCGGCGCGGCGCTTCAGACGCTCCGGCGCTCGTCCGGAGGTTGTCGGGTGCAGCTCGTTTGAACGACCAGGGGGGATTACTGTTGCTATTCTTAGCCTGGGCCAAAGCTTGCGACGGCCTGAAGCCCGACGGCGCGCGCGTGCCATTGGGGGGGGTTGGACTGCTGTCGCAAATTGTCAACCCGGCCCGCTCGGCAAGGCAGCGCCCCCACTCTGAAACAGCAGCGCCGCATTCGATCGCCCACGCGTCGCGCCGTGTTTTTCGCCCCCCAACGCGGTGGACATACGCGTGGGAGCGCCCCGCGAGCGCGCGGCTCTTCAGCTTCAATTTTCCCGGATTCCGCGGGCGCGACATCTGGCCCAGCTGCCTTCCTGTTCCTCATATTCTTGACCGCTGTCTAGAGCTCGCGCGAAGAGAAAGCGTCGGCGCCGATCGGCAAGGCGCCCCCGAGCACCTCGGCGTTCGCGGGGGGGGCGTCGGCGAGGCAGGCCTCGCGAAGATCCCCATTCAAGTCAACGCCCGCGCGCCCGCGGGGAGCTGGCTGTCGCGGGCGCCGAGGCGCGCCCCAGCTGCCCTTATGGTCCAAGTCGCTCAACCAAGCCGCGCGATATTTGCTGCCTGCTTTCCACCTCCACGCGCGTAGCCGGACCTCGTTTGCGCAGTCCCCCGACTGGCGGCAGGCGCCCTTCTCGGCCATGAGTTTCAAAGTCGGGGGCTGGCCCATGGCTTTCACGGTCGCTCTTCAGAGACTGGAAGAACGCCGGCTGCGGCGCGGAAAGTTCGCCGCACTTTGTCCGGGGAGGTCCTCGACGACATGTAAAAACGTCGCGGCGATGAGCTTGTCGGCGCGCGCCTTTCTTCTTCTTATCCCCATTGCTCTTCTTATTGTTCTTATTATTACTCTTAAAAATAATTATTCTCCTTCGGCGCGCGGGCCCGCGAAGATCGCTGAAATTCCAGCCCCGGAGTTGCGCGCGCAGGAAAATGGTGACCATTGAGGGCGGCTGCCCTGGAAGATCAGCATTCTTGCAAACAACAAAACATCGACTGATGGCATAAGATGCAATCAAACTGAGAGAACATGTCTGGTTATTATATTTCCAAAAGCTGAACCCCCAAATTCCGACTGGCGATCTCGCCAACATCTCCCCCTTTTCGAAGAACGCGCTCGCAATGGCCATGTCGCAATCAACGCGTTATTCCACGCGCAACTGTCGACGAGTCGCCTGTGGGGAGTGACGCGCAAACGATTTCCTCGGTAAAACATGGTCTCCAATGATGTCTTCATCACCCGCTCCTCGACATAAAAAAATTAGCATCACAGTCCCCGGGAACGACAGTGGAGCTGCGCTTCGGCGCTGGATTGATGCGCGGGGCGACGTCGGCGCAGAAACTTCGCCGCGCATCTGGCCCGCGCCCGCCGCGGGGGGCACGCGCGGAAATGAGCCCCAACGCGCCTCCAGCGATTCTGATCCCGAGCGTCGTCATCGCCGGCCCGCTGCCTTGAAACGCGACAACAGCAGAACGCGCCGAAAGGTGACATGACAAACCCGACTCCTGCATCGGATGTGGAGTCAAGCTTCGCCGCCCAAGGAAAACAATACAGAAACCCATATTCTGAAATGCTCAGCCCCTGTACATGTGCCTCCTGTGTGCATAGTATGTCAACAGCACGCGCTTCCATTATGCGTGCGATGTATGCGCGTCAGCTTTAGGACTGAATATCCACGTAAACCTCCCACGCGCCATGGGCAAAGGCGCATCGTCTTGATGGGCGAAAATGCCTGCCTTGGTCTCCCCCAAGAGGTAAGACGCTTCCCTGGCCATAAAGCTGCGGACGTCGAAGCAGAAGATCCCTGCGCCGAAGTAGCCCGACGGGCCGGGGGCCCGAGAATTGGCCGTCAAGAAAATGATGTAGAGGAAGCCGGAGGAGTAGAAGAGGATGAAGATATCGAAGAAGAAATTGGTGAATGATGTTGGTACTACGACCTGGTATATGCGACCATGTCTGCTGTAGAATATTCGCGCGGACCCGCGAGGGCGAGCACGCCGGCAGCTCTGCCCAAGATATTTCCAACACCATCGGACTCAAGCAGAAAAGGTTGGGGTGGTCCATCTCGGAGGGCTCCGCTGTCTAGTCAGACGAAACCCGACACCGGCCCTGTCACCGATTGGCCTTTCAACTTCCCCATGGGGTGACTTTCCATCCCCTGCTGGGCTCTGGTGACCAAAGCGTCGCACTTGTCAGAGAGTCCATTTACTTGTGGATGCCCCCGTAACTCTTCCCACGCCTTCCACCTGTCTTCCCAATTCTTGTGTATAGTGATGCCGCCCACGGCGACCGTAACCGCAAGCTGACCTCCCACATGAACTTCGTGAGGCGAAAAGTCCGGGACCCCTTCACGTACACGTTGACCAAAATAGGCCAGAGCAGCTGATAACTTGTCCGGAGCCATGCCGTTGCTGTGTTGAACATGTCGATGCCCTCCAAGTTACCAAACACTCCAATTATGTCACGCTTCCCATCGCCACCGTGGCTTGAACACGCACCCTGGAGACATGAAGCCATGTGCTGTTTGTGTTTGCACTTCCTTTTCTAACAGTTGCATTTTCGACTGCGCAGCTGTGTCTTCAGATGTTTTCTGACATCCTCGCCCAAGCTGGTGGGGATTTGCATTGCAATTCCGACAAAATCCAAACGTTTAGTGAGGTCATTGATATCGTCGCTCAGGGGGGCGACCGCGTCGCTAAGATTCTTGTGGGAGATTCCATAAGTCTTGATGGCCGCGATGTCGTTGCGTAAGGCGTCAACTGCGTGAGCAGGATCCGCTCCAGCACTCCGGCGGTCAGTGGCTCGTCGACAATGTCGGCTGCGAACTGCGCTTGACGAGCGGACGGTGCTCCAGAACTGTCAGTGTTCTCGACATCGTCAAGGTCGTCCATCTCGTGTAGTGGACTGTGGATTCGGTGCTGCTTGAACAGCTGCTGAACAGGTGTACTAGGCACCCACGAATCGACACCAGCACCTGAAGCCGGCATCGTTTTGGCAAACTGATGAAAGAGGTGCGAGAGAGATAAAAACGAATAGTGAGGGTGAGCGTCGAAAAAGAATAGTGAGAGTAAAAACCCTTGAGCCTTGAGCCTTGAGCCTTGAGAATTGAGCCGCGGAAAATTAGCCTGGCGAAGGACCCAACCATATGCAGTTGTGAATATTGCAAATATGAATATCGTTTTCGGAGGCGCTACCTCTGGGTAGGGGAGACGCATGCGAATACCCCCACTTGGGCCTTCGGTGGAGCTCCCTATGGGGCTACGAAACGCTGCCCTGGGTGGGGGAACCGCATGCGGGCACCCCCACTGGGGCCTTCGGTGGAGCTCCCTATGGGGCCACGAAACGCTGCCCTGGGTGGGGGAACCGCATGCGGGCACCCCAACTGGGGCCTTCGGTGGAGCTCCCTATGGGGCCACGAAACGCTGCCCTGGGTGGGGGAACCGCATGCGAACACCCCCACTGGGGCCTTCGGTGGAGCTCCCTATGGGGCCACGAAACGCTGCCCTGGGTGGGGGAACCGCATGCGAACACCCCCACTGGGGCCTTCGGTGGAGCTCCCTATGGGGCCACGAAACGCTGCCCTGGGTGGGGGAACCGCATGCGAACCCCACTGGGGCCTTCGGTGGAGCTCCCTTGGGGCCACGAAACGCTGCCCTGGGTGGGGGAAACCGCATGTGGACACCCCACACTGGGGCCTACGAAACGCTGCCCTGGGTGGGGGACCGCATGCGAACACCCCCACTGGGGCCTTCGGTGGAGCTGGGGCTACGAAGCGCTGCCCTGGGTGGGGGACCGCATGCCACCCCCACTGGGGCCTTCGGTGGAGCTCCCTATGGGGCTACGAAACGCTGCCTGGGTGGGGGAACCGCATGCCATGGGGCCTTCGGTGGAGCTCCCTATGGGGCCACGAAACGCTGCCCTGGGTGGGGGAACCGCATGCGAACACCCCCACTGGGGCCTTCGGTGGAGCTCCCTATGGGGCTACGAAACGCTGCCCTGGGATGGGGGAACCGCATGCGAACACCCCCACTGGGGCCTTCGGTGGAGCTCCCTATGGGGTACGAAACGCTGCCCGGGTGGGGGAACCGCATGTGGATCTGGGGCTCGGTGGAGAGCCCCATGGGGCTGAAACGCCGCCCTGGGTGGGGGAACGCATGTGCACCCCCACTGGGCGCCTCCGGGACTCCCTATGGGGCTACGAAACGCCTGCCTGGGTGGGGAACAGCATGTGGGCACCCCATGGGCCTTCGGTGGATCTCCCCATGGGGCCACGAAACGCTGCCCTGGGTGGGGAACCGCATGCGACACCCCCACTGAGCTCCCTAACGCGCTGCCCTGGGTGGGGGAACCGCATGCGAACACCCCCACT